AATTATTTTTGTGTAACAATTATGATTTATGGTAATTGTAATAAAATTGAATTGCAATTAATTTTTCGGCACCCCTGCCAATAATGTACACATAATAGTAAAACATATAAAAATTCAAATTGCAATAACTCTTGAACTAGTAAACCCACACGAATAAAATTATATTTATCGGGTTAATTTAATGTGTAAAGTAATAACGCTTTTTTATATTTTTATTGTCAGGTGTGTAGCGGAGGACTATGCAAAGTTATACCAAAAATTCTCGTTTTTAATAAAACGTCACTTTGAATCTCTCTGTCGCCATTGCATATTCATGTAACAAAAAAACTTATAACAGTTTCGTAACAAACCCGTTGAGAAAACCTCTACCCAGGTAACAATTAATAATTGAATGATAGCGGCAATTCGAAATTTTGTTGCTTATGCCTGCATTATCCTACTCCCAGAACCCACTGGAATTTTTTTTTGCCTAGTGTCTGCCCCGGAAATTACCTGGGTTATCCGGATAAATTACCATAGTGTTATGAAAAATAACGTAACGTTTGTTTTGTAACCTTATAGTTTAGTGTAGTCGGTTACTTTAATTAGACTTTTATATTGATATACTACATTAGCGTAAATATTATATAGCTAATTTGAGTCTAATAACTTGTATATAAAGATAGATATTCTTTGTAAGTAGGGAGAGAGTTTAGGAAGTACTTCTTTTGTTTAGTTGGAATAGAGGATATTTAGAGGAATATTGTGTACCAGGTATACTGACTAGGAAGATACTTACTTGTATCGCTTATATTTTTTAGTATATTTTAGTGCCTTGTAAGCAATAATAAATAATTGGGTTCTTATCTTTAATGTTTATGACCCTGAGTTAAATTGGTAGAGCTATAAGAAAGTCTCTCCATGGTCGTAACAATAGTCATATGTTCCGGTAAGAAAATCCCAAATCCCGATATAATTACACACAGTTGTCATCGTGAATTTTAGCAAATCGGCCAATCAGGTTGCAAAAACAAGTTGGATTCAAATGGATTCAAAAGATATATTGTAGGGCGATGTGAATACATTAATTCCTTAGAAAGTTGCTACCAGCCTTTAAAAAAGTATTGTAAAAATGTATAAAAACATTTCTATATTTGGGACTTCCTACCTGAAAGTCATAAGATAGCAAATTCGGATACAATCTCTATTGCTACTATTGATAATTCGTCTCATTATAATTAATTATTCGACAAATGTTTATTTAAAAATCAACGCACAATGATTCAATATTTAAATATATAATATTCAATGCTGATTTAGCTACGTCAAATGTCATAAATGCATAAGGAAACCAATATTTTTATTCTCTAGTGTATTAGAAAACAAACATATAAATTCTGAATCAAATAAAAAGTTGTCGAATTCACATGATCTCTTCCGTCTCAAGAATTTTTTCCCAATCATAAAAATTAATTTGTCGGTTATCCTTAGTTTTAATACTTTTCCCAACAAGCCAGTCATTAACATAATCTCCTTTAACATCGAAATCGATCAAATATATTGATGTTTCATAAGTGGAAAGAATGTAGGAATGGAAATTAGATGTGAAATATGTTTAAATATAGCGCAGATCTTTTGTTATAGGCGTTGTCGAAGCTACCTAAATCGTTTTTGATCAAGGCAAAAAAAATTTAAAATAGGTGTTAAGGCACCGACAAATTTACCAATTGTAGTATCGAGATCTTGTATCCAGTTAGCTCTATTCGAGACTTGCAATTTTTTTCATTATTGTTTATGTTCTTTCATGAAATCTGCTTTGATTTCAATGTGGAGTTGTAATGTATATTCAACAAATTTTCTTTGTCTAGAGGCATCTTCTTTCATACTAATCTTAAATTCGTCAACTGAATCTATTGCATTATACTTATCCATAAAATTTTTGGTTTCCTGAACTACCTCTTTTGCTAATCGAAAAACTTTACTGCAGTTAATGTAGGCAGTTTTTACAACATTTTCATAAATTATGCTGAGACTGCTATCTTTTTCAACCCTGATACTACTAAGGGTAGAACAGGCAGATTTAAGGTTACTAGTCGCACTTTTAATGTCATCGTCGTAAACTATTTCAATTAAATTATCGCTAGTAGTTAACACACTTGGAATAGCATTTTTAATTTGTGTAAACTGGGTATTGTTGACGGTTGAACTCATAATATTGTGGTAGATGGAAAATAGGAAATGCTATTTTACTTGTATCGACTGTTGTGGCTAAACTCAGATATATATATGGGTATTTCACATAGTTCATTACTATGCGTTACTCACATGATACGTATATTACCAGATATTTCGTCTTATTGTATTTAAATTATATTCGTTTAAAAAAACTAATCGTACGTACGTAATTTCGTTTACGTAACAAAAATTATTAAAGTTCAACAAATAAATTATTGCACGTGAAAAATGGCCTAAATGACCTGAATCTTGAATGACCGGGATGGTTTATATCATTGGCACAAATGAATACCGGAAACTGTACACGAGTTAAACGTTAACCCGGTCGGGAATTTTTCAGGTTAACCAAGCTAGATATAGCCGAACGAATATTTTTTTGAGGTTATTATGTAATAATAAGAATCATGCAAATTAGGGTGAGTGCACAGCATAATCATACTTAGCTTTAGAGTATATATATTACATATGTACTCACTAAATTTAACTTTCAACAATAACCCAAAATCATACATTATTTGTACAGTGCATGAATCCTGAAATCTCAATTTCGCCAAAACGAAGCAAACAAACCTGTTGGATGGTATCAATGAGATTCAGTTTACCGTATCCTATCGTGAATAAGCACTACACCCTCTACCCCACTTTTTTAAATATCAGATTAGCGGTAATAATTTGGCTAAAGGCTTCATTGCGATTTCCGCTAATCTGACATTTAAAAATTGGGGTAAAGGGTGTAGTGCTTATTCACGATAGGATACGGTAATTTGTTCTTTTGTGAACGTTGATTATTAGAGAAAATTGAGAGCGCTCTCAAGCATCTTCCTAGATACTATTTTCTAGTGATCGAAATAATGTACAAATGCATTATGACGGAATTTTAGCTATTTTCACAATAACATTTTATATAAAATCAACGAATGGTGAGATTTACTCAAAATATCACATAGTGATTTGCTAATAATTGTAGTCATATCGGCGGATTTTCAAAGGGCCCCAAAATTAATGGGGTATTTTCCGATTAGTTGGGGTAGAACAGTCATTAGTAGTGATGTGCTCATGCGAAGTACCCTAGCCATCCAGAAAAAAAAGTGGCAGACACGTGATTTTTCGAAATCTGGCCAATTAGATAAAAAGATCA